GGCGCAGTCTAGGTTCAAAGATAGGGTAGCACGTGTCAAGAAGCATATCTCTTTTAACAATGAGCTGCACCATCTTGAAAAGTGGCAGTGCGAGAGAAATGCGGACAGACAGTGAAGACACAAGGACTGCAGGGCGAGACTTGCTAGAGATGTGCCTCAGAATAACAACATGCAATTCCCTCTAGTGCAAATTCTCAAGGCAGCACTACACTTGCAACATGGCTTGAGCTTGGAGGTGCTGCACCTTTTCGGCAAGACAGCGGTTGTGCAATGCCCAACACAAAAGCACCGTCGCTGTTTTTGAAGATCACTTGACTTAATGAAACATTACGAATGCCTTCGTTGTGTATATGTGCGTGACTATACATACTGTTTGTGTGTATATGTAAACGTATATGTCACAGTCAGGCGCATAGCCAAAATTTTTTTTCAGTGGGGGGGGGCAGTAAAATGTAAATTGCTGGCAGTAAAATGTAGGCAACAATAACCATCGCCATTGTGAACTTCATGCGCCCTTATCTTGTTGGTGCTTGCCTAGAGTGAAACGGAATAATAAAAAGCTGCAAATAATTTTGGACATAGGATGACATACCGAAGTGCCCTGGTTTTTCCCACCAAGTCCTTCATTTCCGAGTATTTGGCGATGAAGAACCTTGTTTTTCGGGCGCTCCAAAGCTCTTCCACATCTTCAGCCGACGCGGCTGCTGCTGGAAATGCGGCTAAAGCCCCATCGCTGTCAACGTCGCCGTCGCAGGCAGGAGAAGGCGTCGGCGGTTGTGCCGGAGGGGGGTCATTTTCACGATTCCCTGCCATGAACCGCAACGTAACGCGCTTGCCGTCTGCAAGGGCGAAAACCAAGATTAAAAATACCGACATAGCATAAGCAATGCTACGAGGCTGTTTGCTGACCGACTACGACTCCTGGCCGCTAACCACGTTTTTTGGCAATGCATGCAGCCTGACTTACCTGATGCCTCATAGACGTAACCGTTGGCGTCCGTCATAAATGACCCGTCGGGATTGTGAAGTGCCTTAACTTCCTTTTGAACGCCCTGAACAACTATTTGCAACGTCGTCTGCTCTGGCCTTGGGGGACGCCGCCATGCTGCACTACTCTGCACCTGCTTTGGAGTGCGTGCACGCCGGTACAGAACTCGTCAGGAACTAGGCTTACACCTAGACAAAACGAGGGAGCCAGTGCAGAGGGTGCGACAGAGGGCGCGCGCTGCTCCGGCAAAACGCGGACGAAGGTGCTGCACCCTTGAACTGGTTTCAGCCGGTGCAGCCAAAACGAAGAGACCAACAGTTTGCCTCCGAGCAGCTGTGATGTCACGTGACAAAGCGGTACGATATAGTCACTTGACTATTCTCGTAGTCAGTTGCGTCGCTTGTTCTAACTCGCGTAAATTGCTCCTCTATTTTTGGTCGTTGCAGCGACGGCGTCGCTTGTCTAACCGCGTAATTGCTCCTCTATTTTCGTCGTTGCAGCGACGAATCTTCATCCTTCCATAATGCAAAACTCTTTCAAATTCTGCCCCCGCGTCGTCTTCTTCAATGATACGGTTCAATATGTTCGTTAACTTGTATTAGTCGTCTGTGACACGCTCCGATGTCATCTGGTTTTTTAGGAAGCCGTCATCAGTTGCGCTCGATCGGCGTCTTCTTCTATCTTCTTATCGATTTCGCTCGTAAGCGTTGTCACATTTGCTCGAAGCGTCTTCCGCTTCTTCAATAGGACCTATTTATTCATGCTCAAAACGTGTTGAAAGAGCTGTTGTCTGTTTATGTGCGTCGCCAACAGTCGTCGGTCGTGGTCCTTCCCTCGACGGTTCTTCCTTGAGCCAGACACCGCTGCATCGTTGCTCAATCCGTTGTTGCGAATGGGGTTGAAGTCTTTGCGTCCGTCTTCAGATCTCCTGGTCATGGCACCATGTTTCAGAAGGACCAGAGAGACCACAGAACCGATACGTCTTAGGTTTAGAGAACTACCCCGACAATTATAGATTCCACACTACCTTTATCTGATTTGTGTTGATCGCTAGCGCCACTTGTGGTGAAACGACGCAACAACCATCGCCTTCTTTATTCTTATACCTGCCGCATCAGAACAAAAACAGCTGTTTTCACATTCCTTCTTTCTTTTTACATCAAGTAGTGTTGGTCACTTGCGCCACTTGTGACAAACAATGCAAAACCATTGCCATTTTTTGTTTAAGTGTCTGCCGCTTAAGAAAAAAAAAACTGCTCTTGCCACACTCCTTCTCTTTTTTTTTATTCAAGTAGTATTTGTCACTAGCGCCACTTGTGACAAACGATGCAACAACCAGCGCCTTTTTTTGTTTAAATGCCTGCCGCTTCAAAACAAAAACGGCTGTTGCCACACTTTTTCTCTTTTTCCTAATTCATTAGTGTTGGTCACTAGCGTCTCTTGCAGTGAACGGCGCAACAATCAGCGCCTTCTTTATTTAAATGCCTGTCGCATAAAACGAACACAGCTGCGACACTTTTTTGTTTTATTTGATTAGTGTTGGTCACTAGCGTCACTTGCGGTAAACAGCGCAACAACCAGCGCCTTCTTCATATAAATGCCAGCTGCATCAAAACGAAAACAGCTGTTTTTCACACTTCGTTCTTTTTCATCCAAGTAGTGTTGGTCCCTAGCGCTACTTGTGACAAACATTGCAACAACCAGTGCCTTTTTTATTTAAATGCCTGCCGCTTCAAAACAAAAATGGCTGTTGCCACACTCTTTCTCTTTTTCCTATTTCATTAGTGTTGGTCACTAGCGTCTCTTGCGGTGAACGGCGCAACAACCAGCGCCTTCTTTATATAAATGCCTGCTCCATCAAAACGAAAACAGCTGTTTTCACACTTTTTTTCTTCTTAATTCAAGTAGTGCTGGTCACTAGCGCAACTTGTGACAAACAATGCAACAACCAGTGCCTTTTTTATTTAAACGCCTGCCGCTTCAAAACGAAAATGGCTGTTGCCACACTTTCTCTTTTTCCTATTTCATTAGTAGTAGTAGTAGTAGTAGTACTTTTATTTACAGTAAGCCGGATACAGAGCTCACTGCAGGGGCAAAGGGCTAAAGGCGAATAGCCTGACAAAGGCCCTTGTCCCTCCGCACTCCGTGACAGTGCAAAGCTTAGACATCAGCACTGACAAACAATATATATATTCAATACATTGGTTTCAAGCAACCGGCCATTGCAAACACAAAATTCAAACATAAATAGCATAAAAAGTTTACATAACACATTTTAAGAATTAGAGGTCACTTTCGTAAAAATTCACAACTAAACGATATCAATGAAACAACTCAAAAACAGATACAAAATGCATGCGGATACAATGAATTGCGCTGTATACACTCGTATAATTGACATAGAAGTTTATCAACAATTTAAGTATTTGCAGAGGCATGAGCCTCCATTAGTGTTGGTCACTAGCGTCTCTTGCGGTGAACGGCGCAACAACCAGCGCCTTCTTTATTTAAATGCCTGTCGCATAAAAAACAAACACAGGACACTTTTTTGTTTTATTTGATTAATGTTGGTCACTAGCGTCACTTGCGGTAAACAGCGCAACAACCAGCGCCTTCTTTATATAAATGCCTGCTGCATCAAAACGAAAACAGCTGTTTTCACACTTCTTTCTTCTTAATTCAAGTAGTGTTGGTCACTAGCGCTACTTGTGACAAACAATGCAACAACCAGTGCCTTTTTTATTTAAATGCCTGCCGCTTCAAAACGAAAATGGCTGTTGCCACATTCTTTCTCTTTTTCCTATTTCATTAGTGTTGGTCGCTAGCGTCTCTTGTGGTGAACGGCGCAACAACCAGCGCCTTCTTTATTTAAATGCCAGCCGCATGAAAACAAAAACAGCTGCCACACTTTTTTTTAACTGATTTGTGTTGTTCGCTAGCGTCACTTGCGGCAAGCGATGCAACAATCAGCGCCTTTTTTTTTTTATTTAAATGCCTGCCGCTTCAGAACGAAAGCAGCGGTTGCCACTGTAATTTCTTATTCGATTTGTGTTGATCGCTAGCGCCACTTGTGGTAAACAACGCAACAAATTATCGTCTTTTTATTTAAATGCCTGCCACATCAGAACGAAAATTGCTGTTGTCACACTTTCTTTCTTTCTTAGTCGATTAGTGTTGGTCGCTAGCGCCACTTGCGTCGAACGACGCAACAATTAGTGCCTTTTTTTATTTGAATGCCTGTCGCATGAGTATGAAAACAGCTGCTACACTCTTTCTTATTCAACTTGTGTTGGTCGCTAGCGATTAGTGTTGGTCACCAGCGTTACCTGTAGCAAATGATGCAACAACCAGTGATTTTTTTTAATGCCTGCCTACATAAAAACAAAAGCAGCTGTCACTTTTTTTACAAATGTTTTTAAGAACGTTAATTTTTTATTCGTGTAGGTCGTTAGCGCTAGTTGTGACGAACTGTGCAACAACTTGATATTTTGCATAGCCTTCGTAAAATTGTGTGTAATTAAAGACATAGCTTTCTCACAATTATGTTGCAGGTTTTGAATAACTCTCGACTGACACACCTCTATAAACTACAAACAAAACAACGCTGTAAATATGACGATGATGATGAAGGGATGATTGTATAACTAGATTGATATGGCTGTACTCTTCAAGTTGGGCGGCGGCTAATGCCACCTAGCCGTAATGATAGTGTTGGTCGCGAGCGCCTACTGCGCGGCGCTTGCTCAAAACTGAAGGCAGGGCGACTTCCGCTTGCAACACGAGTCATTCGTCAGGCATCTTAATAAAGGAGGCGTTGGCATAAATAACAATAGAGCTGTATATTAGCTCTATGTAAATAACCTAAGCAACTAGATTTATTCTGATAAAGTGCAAAAATTGACAAACTGTCGCACTAACTGGGAATAACAAATAAAACAAAATAATGCGTTTAACAACTATATTTCTGGTAAACAGGTGACGCGACAACTCGCACACCCCTAGTTTGGATTAAGGTTGTGTCCGAATGTTTGAAACATGGACCCTAAGGGAGGAGTTTCGCAACTCATACGATTTAAGCGACATATACGTAAACATTGGCCATGTGCGATTCCGAGTCGAGCAGTGAAGACGGCGATTCAAGCGACTTCTTGGGTTTAAAAGGCTCAGATTGGGACGTGAAGCTGCATGAAGCGACAGAGAAGGCGTACGAATTCATAAAAGCCGACTTAGTTTTGCGTGAATCTGCAACTACACTCGCAAGCGACAACATCGGCCCGAAGATCAGGTCCGAACCTCAACCGGCGAGTCACAAGGAGCTGCACAGCACGCGACGTCCCAACGTAAAGCGAACTTCGGAAAGTACCGCGTGTTTCTCAGAAACAAAACACGCAAAGCTAGAAACCAAGCAAGACGATTCCTTACTTGCCAAACATACTGCATCACCGCGGGGCGCCTTGGATACATCCCTGGTAATTTCCGAAGACAAGCGGACGAACGCCGCCGAGTACAGTGCAAGGGTGGTGACGCGCTCTTTTCGACGCTTCAAGGCGCACGACAAAGCGCTTGTGGCCGCTTCCTGGGCACCGGAGCCTTTCAGCAGACTTCTGCTGACCGCCTCTCACGACGGTCATGTCAAGTTGTGGCAATCGACGACTGGAAAGTGTGTTTACGACCTTCCCAGCGATGACGGCATCAGGAGCGCTCGGTTCGCGTTGTACGGCGCAAAGTTCGTGCGCTGCGGCTGGGACCGGAAGACGGTCGTGGTGGACCCGACTTCGAACGCGGTACTATTTTCGTGCACGCCTTCTCAGGGTCTCCCCACATGCGTGCGTTTGGACCCGTCGAGCGAGCCGAATTTCTTCGTGGGTAGCAGAGACGTCGCCGAGCTGTGGGACACCCGTCGAAGTCCGGCGGCAAAAGCCGTGCGGACTTTTCCCGTTCGCTGCGGAGAGGTACTCGACCTGCTGCCTATTCGCGGCGGTCTAGAACTGGCCTGCAGCGGCGACCTCGTCACTAGGGATTCCTGCGAAGCGGCGCTCTCCGTGTGGGACGTAGGTTCGGGCGCCCGGCTGTCGGGTCAGGTGTACCAGGAGAGATACACCATTCCCTGCCTCGAAAGTTTGTCGCCAAACACTATCTTGGCGCAGACGAACGGAGACTACATCGCCATGTTTCACGCGGATCGACCTTATCGGCTCAACAAGCGTAAGCGCTTCGAAGGGCACAAAGTGTCCGGTCATCCAGTTAGGTGTAGCGCGTCACCGGACGGTGCCCTTATCTGCAGCGGTGACGCGGACGGTGTACCGCACATCTACTCGGCGCGGCACGTGAACACGGTTGCCGTGGTGTCGCTGCCGGCCCATAACACGCCGGCCACGCATCCCGACTGGCATCCGAGCCGGCCAGGCTTGTTGCTGATTGGCTGCGCGGACGGTCACGTCCACTTGTGCCATTAGCACTCGATAAAGTATCCTCTAACTCATCATTCACGGGACCCGATGTTGTGATATTTGTTGCAAATAGAAGAGGGGAAAAACGTGCCCTGTTCAGGCTCTTCATTTTACAAATTTATGTCACCAGTGCACATGTGTAACATGCTCTTACATAGCCTTGTTAAGTTATGGAAATAGGAAAGCTTTGCCACTCTTCATGTGTCACATGCTATTCCTTGAAGAAGGGGGTGGAGCTCTTGGCCAAGCATGCCCCTTGCTTGGCCATTAAAACCATCATCATTATCATGGAGAAGGGGAATTTACTTGTAGTGGTACCCTAAAAACTGACTAACACTGCCAGGTTCAGATGTGCATATGTATATAAAAGGTGGGCGGGGGGGATGACCACAGCCGCAACTCAGTTGGTAGAGAGTATCATGCAAAGGTCGCAGGTTCGAACCCTGCATTTAGCGAGTTATCTTTTCGTCCACTTTTCTTTCTTCACATTTACATCACAATTACAACAAATGACACGTCCCTAATTTCTTCCTGGCTTTGGGGTCTGTTCTACTTAACGCTATCCTCTTCAGCAGCGGAAACAGTGTGCGTACCCAACAAACGCTACCCTTGCGTACCCTACTCTGGGACTGCCTTTTATTGCTGTGAATGCAACAATTGATGGCAAAGCAAACATATTTTTGCTCGCATTGATGAACACTAACAATCACAGTAAAGGCTCCGTGCAGTTTTATTCTGGCAAATAAATAGCATAATACTAGTGTCAACACAGGATTATTTTTTTTCCCCTTTTTGCATGGTTTGGTATTGGAAAGCTGTTTTTCAAATGAGTGTCTCTGTGGTGCGCTGTATGGCACTGCTATCACCCGCGCAATGTTGACTGGAGGATCGACTGCAACACAAAGACGCCTGGGTTCCCTTGGAAGGATGAGACCGTCGCCGCTCGCGGGCACGCTCTTCCAGTACCTGCATCAAGGTGTCGAGGTTCAGCAAAAATGCCATCACAGTAGTAAACTATTCGCACACCTGCTGACGTTAGCCCTTTGTGAGAGTGCGCAGGCACTCTTACACGAGACTTACTTTTGCCATTGCTGTGCACTAGTGGCAATAAAGAGGCAACGAACACTTGGCTAATGGTAACTTAGACATTCTCGTTACGTAAAGTTCTTACATGTTACTTCTGGGTGAAATATTTTGCCGCACACTATCACACTATCACTTTTATAAAGGCAGTACTGCGTTTAACCAGACACTTAATATGGGTGTTTAATCAGATTTAACCAGACACCTAATAAGGGGAATCTCATAATACTTTATAATTTTTCAGAATGGGCTTGCCATCATCAGATTTCATGAATAAATATGGCATGACTAACTCTACAGTAGTTGTATAATTACACTGAAATAGAAATTAATTTCCATCAAAAATTCATATAATTCCACTTGATATAAATTGAGTTGTCAGAATCTTGGCATCAAATTGTACTAACTTCACGCATTCATGGATGGTGGATCACAATGCATGTCGCAGAGGTCAGAGCCTGGAATGTACAGTCAGGCTCAATATAACAGATGACCACATGCCGTAATACATTCAATGCAAGATTAGCTCTCAGGCCAATATCTGCTCAGTTTTATGCCACTTTCATTGTCCTCCGTGCATGGTCAACTAATCCAGTAGTAAATAGAGAGCTGCCCTGATTACTGACCAACCCTTGCAGCAAATAAGAGCACGTGCATGTTACCCCAGTCTCAGAAACGTAATCGCGCACCTTGGCCATGACAGCTGCACTGATGTAGTCGGGGAGGGGGCCGTTGCCGTCCTGCTGCTGCGGGGGTGTCGTCTCCTCTGGCGACACCGAGTACACCATGGCAGTGGGTGGGAATGTGGGCATGGGCACCCGGATAACCCGTGCCTCCGGAGGAGTTCGCTGCGACCGGCTACCCAAGTGGCTTCGAACCTTTTCCTGAAGCTCATTGGGAAGCTGTTGTGTGTAGGTAAGCATGCAATTAGAATGTGAGAGAGGCTTGCAAGGAAGCTCTCCCTGCCCCCAATGTCGAGTTATGGACCAGCAACCAGTGTAGAAGCATAAACACCAGTTGAAAACAAAAAAACTGTTCGTTACATACGGAAGCACGTCATTGGCTAATCCGAGACACATTGACTGTCTGGCTTTAGCTAGACCACACCATAGTGTGCTTCCTTCCTTCCTGAACTGCATAAAACAATTTAGCCCCTATGAGAAATCAAACTTTAGCTGATAGCGTAGTAAATCTGCACCTATCCTCAGCTATAAACCAACAGCTGAAAGTGGGCACAGGTTATACGTGACAGTAGGAGCACTGCTACCACGTCACGATACTAATGGACATGAACAAGCATTAGAACATCTCAGAGCTGTACAATATGTTCAACAAGTAAAGTGTGTTGTGTTAACGGAGTATCATCACTAATACCCGTGCCACACGGGCAGAAAAAATGGCATTTACCCCCGAATGCCTTCAGATTTATTGCCATTCGCGCGGTGCCACACGGGCGAACAAAATGGCATTCATCCGAATGCCATTCGAATGCCATTCGCCACCAACTGCCTTCGCCAGAACTCAGTTGACTGAGAAATGCCTACTCTCGACGACACAGCTCGCGAAGTGCGATTTACCTGAAAGTATATAAAACAAATCATATTGAGCTAAAAATGAAATTTCCCGTCTTTTATTTGCACTAAAGTCTTAAAAAGGTGCTTTGAACGTTATACAAAGAAAATAAAGTATTGATAATGAAACGCTTGTCAATTTTAGTGTCTATTTACGCTGTGGATCTGACTAGTGTTGGCTTAGGTTGCTACGGTCGGCTGCAACGTTGTAAAACAAAGCAAGAAACTAAAACTTAGGACAGCGTAATACGCCTATTTCTACATTTGATGATTATCTGATGTGTATGAAGCTTGTAAATGCTTCTTAATTTTTTTATTGCTATTCACTCAATGCTCACTTGGAAGGTGCTGTGATCGACATCATCAAGTCAAATGTCATTCGCTTTGGACGTGTAGCAGCGCCGGCGAAACGAATGTCATTCGGGAACTGAAGGCCTTCGCCACCAAATGTCATTTTCTATGCCCGTGTGGCACGGGTATAACACAAACACTGTAAACGGGGTTCTAGCAGAACTTTGTGAATAATTTTGTGCCCTCAAAGCAAGACTAGAGCAATGATGTTCAACAAAGAGAATATCACTGTTATATTGCATCAGCATACATTCTAGAACTGTGTTGCTGTAGGCATATTTTATCGAAGGCATAATGGCATTCAGAGCACTTGCGCCGTCTTGTGATGTCGGACTCATATGATACGTATGTCGAAATCTTGGTGTCGGAAAAATAATTTAGGTGTGGACACTCTCCGCCCGCCACAAAGGAGCGCCCGTCCAAGTAATGTTCGCCTTCAATACACGCGCCGGCCGCAGTTTCGTGGGGGGCGCTGCGACATGGGGGTTAAGAAACCTATTGCGAAAAGGCGAATGCGCGTTTTTCTTCATTTCTTTTATCACCTCATTTCATTTTTTTTTAACAGAGCATGTTAGCAACTAGAGCAAGGAATGCATACTGTGTTTCTCGCGACCGTGCCGCGTCCTGCTTAGAGCGCGTAAGCAGTCTTTCTGCTCGCTGACTTCGCACGTGCACAACGTTGTTACGGATGCTACGCACGCAGCTCGTCTTCTATAGTACGTGCGTCGGCCACGGTTGCGTGGGAGGCGATGCAACATGGGGGCCGAGAGGAGGAAAGAGGCGAACATTATGTGGCCACACCGTCGGGCAGAGTGTCCACACCTAAATTATTTTTCTTACACCGTGGTCGAAATGGTGATGTATGCAAAGTTTGTGAGACAGCATGCATGTCTCGCACAATAGCATGACAACGGTGATAGTGCAGTGATAATAAACCACTGGTGGAGAGTGATGTATGCGTGCATGACGCTGAAAAAGCTCGAAGTTTCACAATAAGTGCGATGTGGATCACGCATCCACCCTGTTGGCCATACCTTGCAATGAATGTTTCCTTTCAAAAGGGCTCTGCACCACTTTTTGAGCACGGTCATAAAACACTGCTGATCAGTAGTAGAGGCTCGTGAGAACACGCAAGTGAAACTTCATAACGAATATGCGGCCTGGAACTTACAATTAATTCTCAAACTGAGCTAGAAGTTGACCCCATTTTATCTCTATAAAAGATGTCATATAGCCAAAGTCCACTGTCATTGGATGATTTCAGCATCGCGAGCAGCACAGTGGCTGTGGCCGCCATAGAATGCCACTAAGTGGCCCCATGTGCTCTCGCAATCACACTGAATGTTAGCCGCACGCTTGAAGAAAAAGAGAAAGGGCTCATGGCCGTGATGTGCACTGATTAAGGCACTGGTCTTCTTGCCTCCTTGTCGTGCTACTCTCTGCGTAGATTTCGGTGCACTCGCTAGGATGAAACGAGAGAAAGCACTTGAAAGACGAAACGAATTTCTAACTCTGCTCATGATTCGAAAAATTTTTGCAGCAGTCAATTCATGAGGCAATAAGCTCTTTTAGTGATCCCATTCGATAATTACATTAAAAAGTGTTGCAGGACCCCTTCAATTCCACGGTTGCCCGATTGTCCATCACACATAGAATTGCTAACCATTTACAACAAAGCAGCAGACAAGCTAATGAGCTAAGGACACAGAAAAGGAAAACGAGTCAGTGCACAGTACGGCCTTTTTAGTATGGGTTCAGCCGAGATGAAAGGCATCGTACCGTGCTGTACTTGGAAGCTACAAAGCTGGAAGGCTTGCATTGTAACAGCTGCACTGCCACGTTGCAATCGTTCCGGTACTGCTCCTGCAAAGAGGTCACACAGTAGCCAATCAATTGCGTAACACAGCGTGCAGGCAACCAGATAAATGTGGCATTTCAAAACTTGTCTGGCCACATGAGCAAGTTCTCACAGCACACTAATGATTTGTGAACTATAAAACAAACACCTATCACATGGAAAATAAACAAAAAAAAACAACATATCAAAAGACGTACAGCGACCACAAAAGGAATTGCAACATTTTTGTCTACATAAAAGCTGATACTTTTCAATGCACACTAGACTGAACTACAAAAAAAGCTGGTTAATTCGAACTCAGTTTTTTCACAATTCCACTTAATTCGAAGTATTTCTATGGTCTCGTATTTTGAAATGTAAGTTTGAGCAGATAATATGAAGTGGTGGTCAGCACAAGTCCGGTTAATATGAAAACTTCAGGTGCAGTGTGCCAATTCCCGGTTCCGATTTTGCCGCAAATCCACGGTAACGACGACCCTTAAGAGCCGTTAGGCAATGTACTTTAGCGATACTAATGAGTGAGTGGTAGCTGAAGCACCCCTGCCACCTCGCTACTTCCAGCACCAAAAATGAAATTATAAAAAACGGTCTCGTTATCAACTGAAATATGAGCCTCTGGAAAACAAGACATGCTTCACTGCTATACACCAGTAGCGCTCAGGCAGCATGTTGCATGCTTCTCACAATGTCATCACGTAACAGTTTAACTATTTTTCTGGGAATTTAAAGAAATTAATAAAGGAGATTGCGGAGAAATCCGCGATGTATGCCAACCTCCAACCAGTTGCTCCAGCAATTTGCGCACTTGCACTGCTGGAGGAATTCTCGCCTGCAATGTCTACTTCAAAAATTGGGCCAAAAGTGTTAATGGTGAAGTTTTCCAGCCAAAATGTATCGCGAATTTCGTCACAGTGTCCATTAAAAAATTCTTTATTTTACCAAAAACAATGGACGAATGGCCGCATCATCACGTGCCGACGCAGCGAAAAGCAAGCGACATGCTTCCCGCATGTCATTACTGTGTTGCAGTGAAGATGTCTTGCTTTTCGCAGGCGCGCATTTTAGTTTATAACCGTTCTTCTCTTTCTTTTCTTTTTTTCGGTGACAGCGGTTAGGCCCGAGATTCCCCCTCGTTTGCAGCAAAACTTTGACCAGGTATTGCTAGAAAACTTAAGCTTTGGAGCCACAAACTTGATGGCAGAGCAAACTTCCAGCCCTGAATAATTTGATTAATTACAAGATTCTTACATCCCACTTTTTGTATGTTATGGAAATTCGAAAAACCCCTTAATTCGAAGATTTCTTACAGTCCCGGTGACATGAAATTACCGAAGTTTAACTGTACTATAGTGAACAGTGTTAAATTAAGGAAATTTCAAGGCACACTTAACTTGTTCTAAGCCACATCCAAACTTAGGCTGGCATTCTGTGAGAACGGTGGTAGCAACATACAGGATTACACAATCAAATTTTAATGAAATGGGAGTGCTTGGAAAAATTGCCCAATTTGTCTTTTAATGCTTTCATTACAAGCAGTCATCTACAAAACAGTGACCTGCATGTCAGGCTTATCCTTTAGAACAAATGAGTTTATGCTGCTTTCCAGGAGGTGCAGAAGTACCTATCACTCCTTCTGCGCTAGTCATATTAACAGCAGGATAGTACTGCGGCAGTTGTTCCGATCTCGATGAAGCTGAATGCCCAATTATGAATGTGTCATTAGGAAATGTTAGTCCAGACACACATGCCACTGCAATTTCCTGCCCCACTTGCTCCATGGCTGTCATTCACACCGAGAATAGCTAGATTAAAAGAACAATAAATAGAATTTTTTTTTGTATTAATAAGCTACCCTTTCACGATACCAAAAATATTCATTGACAGTTAGGATACCCTCTAATGCGAATTCTCAGCGCAGCTTCACATTGGGGCAATGCAAATTGTGCTTGGAGTTTCGGCTATCAGAACTTGCAACAACATGCCACAGAAACTGCCAGTGTTCGAATGACACACACCATGCAGTGCGTTGAAGGTGTCGAAAAAAAACCAAAACACCGACCGTGCTCCAGTGCTATGCACACCTCTGTGCGGTGTAGGCGCCGCCAACCAAGTGAAACCCCATAAGTCTCGCTAGAACAAGCCATAGTGCACGTTCTAGACCTACTTGCGAACGAACTCCAACTGAGGGGCCAGCACGCGTGACAGGAGCGAAGCGAGGTTAGAGGCCAGTAGCTCATGATGTTGACAGACTCTGTGCTTGTGCTCTTTTGTTCTTTTTCACTCTATGGGTTACACTGATACCAACAATGGCAACACCGCTCGGTGCAGAAGCAAGCGTCTAAGAGCTGCACTCTAAACCCCCCCCCCCCGATGACGGCATCTACTAAAGTCTATTAGTTTCTAATCAGTAAAATAACCAAGTATACAGTTTTCTCAGGCAGCCTGAGACTCAACGTGCCAAGTTTCAGAAAACTTATTTGAACCAATTTGACCAAAATATGAAAAAGCATGTGGAAGTTTGTGGAGTTGCTATCAGAGGTTTTAGCAGGAAATTTAGAAGTGAGACTTTTGACACTGTTTCTCTCATTTTGAAATAAACTTACATTGGTGATAATGATAACACTAAGAGTTTACGGGGTATAATTTATTAGTCTAACTGTATGTACTGCCTAACTTTTGTGCACCTTTATATATAATTGCAAGACACACAGCAAGGCACACTCACGTTCTCCTCACGTAGCTGCGCCAGCGCCAGCTGTGCATCAACGAGTCGCGTCGTCAGCTCCTGGAGGTCACGGCTCAGCGCATTCTTTTCCGTCTCGCACCGGTCGACCACCCGTAACAACTTGTCTTCCAGGCCCTGGTTCACCTAGGAAACACAGGTCACCAGGATAAGCAAAAACACTTTCCATAAAAGCTTTTGTAAGCTGCGTGACCGCTCACACCTATCTTCCTTTGTAAGCATGCTCTACGGTAGTACATCGAGCGACTGCCCCCACCTGAACAAGAACCCTCTGCAACTTCAATGCCGTACTCACCCAAATTCATTCGTACCCAAATGCTTAAACAAAAAGTCCGTACCCTTTCTTTCTTATCCTCAACAATTTACAAGTTGTTGCAGTGGTACGCAGCAGTTCTTGCTGTGGTCAACCAAACACTTGGCAGACCACGGCAAGGGCTGTGGACGCACACTATGCTTCAGCCAAACCACGTTTCTTAGGCGAGCAGGCAGCCGCACTGAAAGGGACACAATCGAGGCATCCCCAATAAAAAGGTTGGCAGCCAGTGTGTCAGTGCTCCATTACAAGACATGAGTGAGAAAGAAGCTGTCTTTTTGAAAGATAGCCTGTAGACATGTAAAATTTAAATTGTGTACTGCCCATATTTCTGTACACTAGGTTCAACACATGTTCACATGCTCTGGCGTGTTTTTACAGTTTGGGTCAGTGCCGTTTCTGGTGCATGCCTAAAATCCGCTTGAGTCGCTCATGATGAATCGCTAGTTTTGCCATGTGTCTATTTATGTTACGAAATTGCCTTGTTCGGCAGCCTACATAAATCAGTGCGGTTTCTGTTAAATAAACAAGTGTAAGTTGGCACCTGTGTCTGTCAGTTTGTGTCTTCACTTTGGCATCGTCCTCTTTGTGTCTTGCCTGTTTTTCCTTAATTATTGACCCAACTAGCTCATCAACAAGTTCTATTGAACTCTACAACATTGGTGCCCAGTGGTTATCTGTTACATTTTCCATACAGTAAGGATACGACACTTTCTAAGTAATGCAACCAAACGTCGCAAAATTCTGCAAAAACACAGTCCCGTGAATTTATGATTACACTTGAAAAAAAAAAAAAAATTGGTCTACAGCTTGTGCTGGAAACAAACAATGCAGATCGCTTTTCTAGAAGCTGCCAGCCTCTAAGATAATCCACTTCATTGTCATGTAATGAAAACTGAAATGGCAGTACAACAATGGGCATTGTCTTCCACCCGCTTTATATCGAAAGGATCCTTGAAATCCTTTCGCTTCAACATTTTGTTGACAGCACTACAAAGCATTTTCGCTTCAGTGGTTTGAGACAACTACAAATATAAACATAAATATGTAAGCACCCCAGAGTACAATTCATGGTACAACTTCAACAAGCCGTCTCATTGCGAAAAGCAAAACATCCCCTGCACTAAACGGCAGGCGGTGCCGAAACATGGCAGATAAAAATTTTGACCTTTAGGGCAAGACAGGGATCTTGAGGTAACAGTGGGGCAGCTGTCAGACAGAGAGGAAAACAAAGCTCAACAAATAACAGCTGTTTACATAATGGGCCGGTATGAGGATGACAAACTTTCACTATCTGTGGCATCGAAATCTGCCGAACCAAAGTTGCCTTGAGATTTGCCGATGCTGCCAGCATTGCATATTTCTTGTACAGATTCAGCAGAACTCACAGGAATACATAACCTTTACAAAGTTGCAGTGTGGAGCTACAACGCCATCTTGGGAACTTCAGCAGCACTTTTAGAAAGAAAACCTAGTTGCGGCGAAAAACAAGCAAAGCTACAAGAGCAGTGTTCTTTTTTTCCACTGGATGACACTACTTGTCCAAGCATGCACCAAAATGGGAAATTCGAATTTGAAATCATCGATATTGGACCACGGGTGCGGACAGGAAAGTGTTAAAGAAAGAATGCATATCCAGCCATCAGCAAATCCAAGCCTAGGCCAAATTTTTTTCAACTATAACTCATCCTTTCTGAGAAATCCACATCTTCTGTAGCTTAAAGTATCAGAAATCAGATATTTATTACTCCATTCAATGCTTAGGGGCAATTTTACCATGTTCAATTGGACCCTGAAATTACATTACGCAAACCCTTCCACTAAACTGTTCTACCATGTCGCTTGCAAGCACACACAAACACAAGTAAATGAAAAATAAATGCAACAAGTCTATGGACACAAATGAATCCCACAGACAATTATGCCAGGAAATGTGTAGGGGATATCAAATTTTGTATCTCAATCTGGTGTGGTAATTATGACACAAATTGAAATTAGTTGAAAGGAACTGTCTACCGTCCTCCACTGCTTTTCTGTTTTGTGTTGCAATAAAAACCGTACCATCTGAATTCTCTTAACCTTGCAGCAGTTTCTCTGGAAAGTGTGTAGAAATTTTTTTAACAGAATATTTCGATCTGCGTCTCCTTCAATTGGTTGGATGAATGTCCACAACACTGGTCAGTGGAGGTGATGACAATTGTACTAGTGGTGAAAGTCGAAAGCTGAAACCCCGAGAGGTTTTTGCAGGCTTCATCAAGTTTTGTTTATTAGTAAAACAAATACCTTGGTGGTCGTTTAAGGCACGTACACACTTTTTTGCTGTTCTTCTGAGCGGCGGCGAACGCCGCGCTTGCGTTTATGCGCCATTCAGAGGCAGGCATACAGGCAAGCAAACAGACCGCTGACAGCACCATTGGGAGCGTTTTTGAATGCGTGAGAAAAAAAAAAAACAAAAATTAGTCTCTGGCGCGACCTAAAGCTGCTTCAAGAGCGGAAAATACATTTTAAGTTCTACGTGTTTCTTTTCAAGCAAAAAAAAACCAGTCAATATGCGGGGATTTCTAGTCCTACCAGTAGATTGACCACATCGCTGTTGGGTGACACTAGCAGTAACTTTTTGCCCACTTTCGAAATCAAGTTAAAACTACAATTAGTTTTTTATGGAACGAAAGCATGCTCGTTGCCGCCAATCTAATAAATGATCGCATTTTCATCACAATCAGACAAATTCTTTCGAACGGTAGACACTCTCTTTGAAGAGGACTCTTTTTATCATCCTTTTTATCAATGGGATCCAAACCCACAACCTTTGAAATTTTGAGTGTTTGAATCCCGCCGACAGAAAAGGTAATTTATCATCCTCTTTTGTTCACTTCAATTAATGTAATAATTACTACACTACAGTGAAAGACAACAACTGGCATTCCCTATGCTATCCTTGGTTGATTTGTCCGTTAAATTTGTTGGGTAGTGTCTCACGAAGAGCGCTTTGAAAAATTCTCCTCCTTACATTCAATGCTATGAAAGAATCAACTCCACTCACATTTCTGCTCTTGACTTCATAAGAATGTGTGCAACAAACTATTCTGACAGTCCATGTAATATTTTCCATAGTATAGCCTAGCATAAATAATTTGTATCATGTTACATCTTGTTATCTTGCATTGTATTAGCAAGAAAAATTGATGTGTAATCATGTAAATGTACATATGTGTCAATGTAAACAATGGTTTATGCATGGGGTATATTGATTTATAATAGGTGCTATAAAATAATCAGTTGGGAAATCATTTTTGAATTAGTATGTTATCTTCATGTAATAATTTCTGTAATTATTGCCACCTTACTGCCATGTGCTTGTACAAGTCACCAGGGCCTTTGTCGGGCCGTTCTCACGGCTTTTAGCCTTGCCAACCTTCCAGTTCTGTCTGGTAAACAGAAAATTTTAATTGAACTGAAAGAAAGCGCTTGCACCCACCTTCTGGAGCTTGCGGTAGCCATCTTGAAGCCTCTGCCACCTGTCTTGGCAGGCTTCCTGGCGGCAGGGGGCGTTGGGCTGCAGAGGCTCCGGGGGCCTGCCTTGCGGGGGACCCTCTAACACCTGCATCAGCCACGTGAAACGACAAAAATCCATTCTGGCCGATGCACTACAGTCATGCACTACAGTGATGACATGCATGTCAAAAACCAGACTTTGTGTTTGTTTTTTTATTAGACACGAGTCAACAATGACCTATAACTTTACACTTGCTCGCAAATCCTGATGAATGTGACCCTGTGACTTGCATACACACACAACCTGTGAATCGTACACCATGGCATTCAGATTCCTGTAGCCACGCCATCATAATTAAAACAACAAAGCTGTAAATAGGTTGAGCTACTTTAGCACTTGTAATATTACTTGTGTGATACTGTAAAACATTTGACAATATTTTTTTTTCTTTATGTTATGCCACAATATGCCAGTCTCCGTTATATACCATTGGGTCAGGTGCATTAGCATTTTGTATGCTCTAGAATTTATGATATGCTATATTCTCGTGCAGCATAACAAGGCAGGAGAGGCACCACACAGATGACTGCAGCACAGCAGCCAATAGCCTCCTTCACTAAAAAAATTGTTCTAGTTGTGCCCTTCATCCCGTTCTTTACAACCAGACTATTGGGCTTACGACCACAGTCTAGAGTGCACCCATTGGCGCAGGCTTGTGTGCACCATTTTTGAGGATGAAATGTTGCAGTGTAAATCCATTACCTGCGTCTCCATGCGGACAATGTGACAATCTCGCTCCAATAACTGCCGCTTCAGAGCCTCGATCTCCTGATGAAGGTGCAGGCTGTTGCTGCCGCTCACACAGCTTTCACACACACAGCCGCACTCCTGGAAACACCAGGCACAACGGGTCACTTCTTCGCATAGAAACAAAAGTGTCTGGCGTAAAAGGTGATGTATAATGTCAAAAAGGCTGCGCACTTTGAAGCATCTTTGAATCAAACAAGAGTCATCATCTGGCTTGCTCACGTTTTCTTTCCTGGAAACTTCTGTTACAGTTTGATATCATAATAATAATATCTGCCGTTTCATCCCTCAACCACGCTACGATCATGAGAGACAACGGAGTGAAGGGCTCGGAAAATTTTGACCATTTCGTATTCTTTAACGTGTGCCGATATCCCGCAGTACAAGAACCCTGGCATTTAACTTCCATTGAATTGACCACTACAGATCAATTTTTGTGCCCTGTATGCCATGGCTATGCCCCGCCGCGGTGGTCTAGTGGCTAAGGCACTCGGCTGCTGGCCCGCAGGTCGCGGGTTCGATTCCCGGCTGCGGCGGCGGCATTTCCGATGGAGGCGGAAATGTTGTAGGCCCGTGTACTCAGATTTGGGTGCACGTTAAAGAACCCCAGGTGGTCAAAATTTCCGGAGCCCTCCACTACGCATCTCTCATAATCAAATGGTGGTTTTGGGACGTTAAACCCCACAAATCATGTATGCCATGGCGAAAAAAGATATTGGAGGGGGGTAGCATGGGTCCAGTGTGCCACCCCTTGGCACTTTAAAAATGAACCTTAAATTCTGGATTGTTCATTACAACAAATATTGAACAATTAATACTGTAACTGGGAGGACTCCATGTTCTCAGTAATTTTCTGCCACATTCCATCACACGAGATTCCAGTGACACGCACCAATGTACGACAGCCATAACACTGGCTCGTTGAAGTTCCACCACTTATTTTAACTTCACTCGGGTTGGAAGACCCCATACCCTTATAAATGCCATAATCAATGCCACCGAGTGAACGAAAGGTGGAGCAAATTTCAGAAGCGAAACGATGACAATTATGCGACTGTATACAGAAAGTATTCGCACTACTTAATCTTCATGCAAAGTAAGTGTGGTGTTGGGCAGCCCTTAACCAACTGTGGTGGTGTATATTTGATCAAGGCCTCTCTTAGCGTTCACACGTCAAAAAATTCAGTCGAGTTTCTTACCTGACAGACGCACTTCATGGTACTCATCGTGGGTTACGACATTGCTGTGGGCAACTGCTCGCTTAGTTTTTCAAGTGCCCCGACCTTCCCTTCAATGCCTGCAAATGGTATGTTTCAGACACGTACAGTCACGCTCTTCTAAACAGCTCACAGGTATGCTTCGATTTTCTAGATTTGCGGCAACAGAAAATGCAATCCTTCAAATGTGACACGCTTACACTATCTGCAAATGCACTTGTCGTACAGTTGCACTATAGTCGATTGCAACCCACGAATAAAATGCAAGCTCCGCCCAGAGATGTCGCTTTCTCGTCCACTGGCACTCCATCCAATCACATTTACTCATTCAGGTGACTTGAAGTACTCGTCGGTTGTTCCAGGTTGTAGGTGCTCCTAAACAGACACTTGCTCCTGTCGCTGGTTGTGTGTCGAAAACTTCAACGTCTTGGCAAACTGAGTTATATATTGTGACATCAACGCTTAGCCAAAGGTAACATTTTAGGTTGAAACAACGAGCAATAACTCGCGGTTCGAAATGGAATCAGCTCGCACGACTTTCTTGCGTATGTGATTGACAAACACACCACGGTTTCGCGGCGATGCTTCTATTTATTCTTGTGTTGTAACCGACTATGGTCAATATATATAGGCAAGATCTTGCAGTACTCAAGATGCAGAGATGAAAAAAAAACTACAAAAAACAAGGAATTAACAGAGACATATTGATCTGTCTAAGCAAGATATGAAACTCAGCGGGTTTCCTACTTACGTATAGAAGACGCGCGACGTCGGCTAGGAAATAGCGCAAAGGCAAGGCCGAAAGAAACCGAAGTTTCGTGTAAAGAAACACGGATCTCTTCTTCACTCGCGATCACAGACCGAAACAAACAATTCCGACTCACGTCTGCAAGGAGAGGCTGTGGTGTGTCCGCTCGAGACGGTCTGGCCTCCTTTCAGTACAGCGTGGCAAAGCAGCTAAAAGCGCATCGCTTGAAGCAGAGACGAAACGAATGCGTAAGAGGACTTCGTCACTCGGTGCTCTGCTGTCACCAACCCATAACGTCAAGCCCAGTTCTGGGGCAAGTCGCCAGTTTCCAAATTATTTCTCAAACACGACGCCAACAAGAATACGTCGCTGCCTGTCAACAAAACATTCCACAGTTCTACATCTATCCACTTACTCATCTATTTGTTCATTTATATAGCTATTTTTTAATTATTCATCTATCTACATACTATACATTATTACTATTTATCTGTTTATTACTTATTCTTTATTTATCTATTTGTCTAGTCATTTATCTATTAACTTATTTACTTATCTACTTATTTGTTTGTTTAGTTATTATCTATTATACGGTTACCTATTTCTTATACGTTTACCTATTTGCTTATTTACTGTAATCACCAATTTTTTGTTATTCACTCATCTATTTACCTTATTACTCAATTATTTATTCACTTATTTACTCATCTGTTTATTTGTTCATTTAGTCATCTATCTACTTTTACCTACTCATTTATTTATGTGCCTATTTACTCATCTAGTCATTTGCTAGTTCATACTACTCAATTATTTATTTTTTGTTAAAATATTTATTTATTTATACGTTTACCTATTATGTTATTTTATCTGCAGTCTTATTAATTATTAGTCCATCTACTACCTACTTACTTATTTATCCATCTATTTGTTTGTCTAATCATCTAACTACATATACAATCAGCCACTCATCTATGTATGTGCTTAGTTACTTATTTAGTCATTTATCTACTTACTTTTTCAATTATTCATCTACTTGTTGGTTTAGTCATCTATCTATACGTTTACTTATTCAATAATTTATCTATGTATTTAGTTTATTATTTATCTACTAAATTATTTAATCATCTCTCTATTTATCTTTTTATAAACGCCTTTCTGGGCGCCGCCATAGTCCTCCTTGGGCTGTGCAAATTGGCGCGTCCCCTCGAAAATGCACTGGCGACGCTGCGCCCTTAGCCACGGAGGAAGGAAAAACCTTTCCTTCCTCCGTGCCCTTAGCCTTTGTACTCCCGCGCACAGCCAACACCACCTAGAACTAGGAGAAGGCCCGCGCATGTCCCCCTCTCCACACCAACTACGTCACCACAGTGAGATCTGCAAGCCCGACGACGCGAGCAGAGAGAGCGCACGGCCAACACCACCTAGAACTCTAGTTCTAGGTGGTGTTGGCACAGCCCATCATGGCGGTGTTTTTTTTTTTTTTTCCACGGAGGAGGAAAAGGTTTTTTTCCTTCCTGTGAAAAGGTGTATAACCAATTATTTATCTGGTCATGTCTCTATTTACTTATTTATTCATCTATCTAAATCACAGAGAAATAAAAGGTAGGAAAGTCATTTATCTATTTGTGTGTGTGCGTGTAGTCATCTATCTATGTTTACATATTTAGTCATTTATCTATGTGTTTATTACTTATTTAGTCATCTATCTACTTAATTAATCTATCATTTATCTATTTGTGTGTTTAGTCATCTATCTATATTACGCTTACCTATTTAGTCATTTATCTATATGCCTTATTACTTATCTAGTTATTTATCTACTTACTTATTTAATCATTTATCTAATTGTGTGTGTGTGTGTGTGTAGTCATCTATCTATATTTACGTTCACCTATTTAGTTATTTATCTATGTGTTTATTACTTATTTAGTCATCTATCTACTTAATTCTATTCAATCTATTATTTATTTATTTGTGTGTTTAGTCATCTATTTATATTTACGTTTACTTATTTAGTCATTTATCTATAGTACTTAATTACTTATTTAGTCATCTATCTTTTTACTTATTCAATCATTCAGTCTATGTGCTTTTTTGGTTATCTATTCATATATACGTTTATCTATTCATTTATCTACCTATAACCTAATACTTATCTAGTCATTTATCTACCTACTTGTTCATTCATCCATCTATTTCACAAAGAATAAAAGGTAGCAGAGGACGTGCTCAGCCAAGCGCGCTACGTAAAAAGTGTGGAGAACACCTCCGTGGTGGAGAAAATGAAATCATAGCGGCCATATTCACTGGGCACGATGGCGGTATTGGTAGGTGTTCTGTGGTATGGTGGCATATCTGTGGTTACGTGTTGCGCAGTGGAGCAGGTCTAGTGATCGGCCGCGGCTGGCGGCGGAGTGTTTGCCTCCCCAGGTCTCATCACGACGGACAATATCCATGCTTCGCGCCGCGTTATTGGTTACGCAGTGTTCTCCTGGCAGTTACTGTACCCTCAGCAACGTTTACAAATCCTTTTGTCCATTACGGGGTTCCAACAGTGCGTAGAACAAGTGCATATCCATGTGTCGTGCAGCGTATGACGCGAATGAAGCGATTAGTGTTTAGCGAAATTGCGTTGGGCACCATGACGACGCGGAACGACGACGAAAGCCTTGCAGGTCAGTCACTGTGGTTGGGCAGTGCCCCTGCTTGTGCCAACGGACGACGCTGTTGAGCCCAGCAAGACTCAATGAAGACCGTGTGCACATACGTAGTTTCGTGTTCTGTGTGTACAGTAACAACTTGCATGTGCATATTAAAACACCTTTTCTGTTCCGCTTCGTATACTTCACCCTTAGCATTGCATGTGATCTCAACATAACAGCAACCGCGTTCAAGTGTCACTTGTACCGTGCTCAAAGTCACCACGGTCGCAGGATGCTGACGCCGGCGAGTTTCACGCGGAACACGGACACAGTGGCCGGACGCTGCGTCGGCCACGTGGCGGAATGCAACCGTAGAAGGCGCACGACCGATCGTGTTGTCTGTGCAGTTTCTGAATTAATGACGTGAAAACACTCGCCGTTGTCAGTGCATCTAGCGCGCGTTCTCTTGTACTTGATTCATTGGTGGTGAGCTGTTACTCGCTGTTAATACTCGGACGAAACGATTTCGCCGAAGGTGTCACGCTGGCCCAGAGTTTTGAGCCCCATTCCATTAGTTTCGGATCGTCACGAGTCGCGCGCTGCGCAGCTCACGTGCTTTCCGAGGCGGAGATTGAGTCTTGAAATTTGCCCAGTCAATATATCCGACTTCCGGCTTCATCGCGGCTTCACAACGAGACGTCAGGGCGTCTCCTACCTTTCCTTCTTCCGTCATCTATTTGTTTGTATAATTATCTATTTATAGATTTACCTAATCATTCATTTGTCTATGTACTTAGTTTCTTATGTAATTATCTATCTACCTACTTACGCATTTATCCATCTATACGTTTGTCTAGTCATCTATCTACACATTATTTATTCATCCATTTACTTGTTTGTTTAGTCATCTATTTGTTTACGAGTTTACCTATTTTTTATCTATTTATATACTTAATTACTTATGTAGTAGTTTATCTATTTACTTATTTGTTCATTCATCTACATGTTTGTCTAGTCATCTATTTATACGTTTTTTTTCTACTTTTTATTTATCTATATATTTAGTTACTTATTTAGTCATCTATCTACCTACTTATTTGTTCATTCATCTACTTGTTTGTCTAGTTATCTATCTACATATCTGTTCACCTATTTTTTCACTTATCTATATAGTTAAATACTTATCTAATCATCTATCTATCTACTTATTTATTCATCAATTACTTGTTGTGTAGTCATTTGTCTACAAATTTATTTATCCAGCTATTTGTTTATCTGGTCATTTGTTTATTTTTATGTTTATCTGTTCATTGATCTATATATTTATTTACTTATTTAGTCATTTGTTTATATATATGTTTACCTATATCTATCTAAGACACGTTTACCTATTTATTCTATTTATTCATTCATTTATTGACTCTTAGTTTGACTGGTCAATGATTTATAAACATTTGCTTATTCATTTACTTATCTACTTGTTTGTTCATTTATCTACTTATATAATTATCAGAATAACTTATTTATCTACTTACCATTATTTTTAATTGTAACAAATTTAGCTAGAATTTTACCCCCTCAAATACAATGACGCTAGCATAGCGCTTACATCATATGTTCAGGTTTTGAATCTTACAGCAATTTTAGTATTACGTTTTTTTTGTTTGGCGCTAGCTACTCAACCACTTATTAAAATAAGTGACGTAACGAAGCAAATCTATCAATAGATAGCATCAACACACGTAGGTGTGTTGATATTATAGGTATTATATGTTCAGGTTTTCAGCTTCAATGCTTGCAATAACAAAAATAATACGCAAGGTTTGTCGCTTTCCACATTACCTTTTAGGTCTTAATGCGCCGCATTTAACTTTCGCGCTTCAGAAGGGAAAGCAACACTGCGTAGGCATTATATGTCCAGAGGCGGGTTAAGCCAACGCCTTCTAGATTTTTTTGTGCCTGCCTGATGAGCGCAAAACGCCGGTCATTTATGGCGGCGCTGCCTACGTAGGAATAAGAGTCTTTGTACTTGGCCTTTGAGATCGGCAATTTTGGCGTTTGCTACTGATTTCAGAGGATGCCTTGTATTAAAACGTTGCTTGTTGAATAACAGCGTCATTTACGTAGGGTTAATTAAAATTACGTTTACGCTTATATAAAACATTTTTACGTTATTTTTTTTCATATAAGTTTCAAAAACGTAAAAACTTATTTGAACTACGCCTTCACCGTAGTTCCGACGACCGCCGCTTTTCAAGTGACCGCCGATTATCTGGCAGGCATGAAAAATCTAGGAGGCGTTGGTTTAGCCAACGTTGATTTACCACTTGTTTTCCCTATATAGTTTCCGAAAATTAGGAAGCTCTATGGTTTCCCCCGCGTTTGGTTAGTGACTGCACTGTTCATATTTATAGAAAAGCGGAGAAATTAGGAAGCCTGCTTCAGCCTACAGTGCGCCTGTGCCTGTGGCCTGCATTTTGACCAGTTGAACTACGGTATCTGGCTGTTGGCATCTGTGTTACGGTAAGAACATGGTTCCTCTAAAGCTGCCAAATCGTATGTGCTACGCGTCAAGGCTCGTTAGCGAATAATTTTTAGGACATTTACATGTAGGCTGGTCACCAGCATCGCAGTACGTCGCGCTGGCACTACGCCTGTTTTCCTTATGCCAGTTGTATGTATCTAGAAAATTCCTTCGGATATAAACTCACGAATGCTGGATTTTTGGCTACGTTAGGTGAACTTGCTTATGCAAGCAGGATGAACAGGACATCGTTTCTCAGCCGCGAATTTTCTGACACCTTGAAGATTTATCGGATTGACTTAATTATAGCGTTTGCCTAGAGGTATTTTGTAAAGACATTAAAGCTTTGCCGAAAGTTGCCATTCCTGCCCAGTTATGTCCTGTGAGTGATCTTTAGGTGTCCGATGCTTGCAGATACAGGAGCTTTACGAAACCAGGCATGGCTATGTACAAAGGAGCTGCCAGCGAGGCTGGCCGCGCACTGCATCTCAAGAAGAAGCGCGAGAAAGCGCTGGAAGAACTGGAGCTTCGAAAGAAAAAGATCGAAGAGGAGCTGAAGCTCTCTACGATGGAGAACAAGTTCGCCGCACATTACGACGCTGTGGAGCAGCAGCTCAAGTCGAGCACGATTGGTCTTGTCACCCTCGATGAAATGAAGGCAAGGTGCATTAGTGTTCCTTCTCGACATTAGTGTATGTCCGGCATACACTCAATGCACAATAAAAGCAAATCAGTAGTCTTGCGCCACTACTATCAACTACACATCACCACGAGTGTACTTGCACGGCTTAGAATGCTGAGAACTCGTTCTTGGCTTTCTTTGTTCTTGCTGTATAACATATCTGCCACTATAAAAAACCACCAGAACTAAGCAGAGGAATGCCAACAAGACAAAACGGGCCAAAGGTTGTTGGCAGGGGCAAGTGTAGGGTGGTTCGTGAATTATTAGAAGCCTTTCTAATCAGAACGGTTGATTGCGGTTACATCAGTGACACCTTAGTACACATGCAAAAGATTCCATAAAAGCTAGTTGCCTTGTTAGGAATGCCTCCGTCATTGTGTGCATGTGCTATTCTGCGTACTTGATCCCCGTTTCACACTTGAAACGAACCTGTTGGAAGATCGGCCTATTCTGTTCTGTTTGTGTTCATCCCTCGTGCTCTTGGGCTTTGTTTTAGGAGCAGATATGTCATCTAGTGTTGAAGTACTTCGCAGTTCTACGTGACTAACTAGCCGTTGTTCGTAGCTTTGGTGGTACAGTGCTTATGGTGCTCGGCTGCTGTCCCAAAGGTCGTGGGTTCGCTGTGGGCCGCAGTGGTCACATTTCGATCTAGGCGGAACGCTAGAGGTTCATGTAGTGTGTGATGTCAATTAAAGAAAATCGCATAGTCATTATTTCTGGTGACCTACACTGTGGTGTGCCCCATAATATGTGTGGTTTTGGCACATAATACCCCACATATAATTCATGATCTCTCAAGAGGAAGGTATGCAACTGCTGCATCTTATCAGTACTTACCTATGGAGCAGAATCCTGGAGGATTACAGAGAGGGTCCAACTCAAGTTGAGGACGACGCAGCGAGTGATGGAAAGGAAAGTGATAGGTGTAACCCTAAGGGACAAGAAGAGAGCAGAGTGTATCAGGGAACAACCAGATGTTAAGGACATCATAGTTGAAATCAAGAAGAAGTGGTCATGGGCAGGGCACGTAGCGCAAAGGCAAGATAACCGCTGGTCATTAAGGATCATAGACTCGATTTTAAGAGAAGGCAAGCGGGCGAAGGGGAGACAAAGTTAGGTAGGCAGATGGAATTCCGAAGCCTGCGGGTATAAAGTGGCAGCAGCAAGCACAGGACCGAGTTGACTGGCAGGACATGGGAGAGGCCCCTGTCCTGCAGTGGGTGCAGTCAGGCTGATGATGATTCATAAATGTACCGCACTTGAGCAGGACTTGCTTGCAATCTGTGGACATTTTGTGTTTCAATCTGTGTTTCAGGCCAAGCAGGAGGACGTAGTGAAAGAACGGGAGCGTCAACTAGCACAGCGGCAACAAGAACGCGAGCTTCAGCGGCAGCGCGAAATTCAGAAAAAACGGGAGCAGCAAGAAAGGCAAAGGAGACAGGCAAGTGACGAGGATAAGCACCGTTTCTTTGCTGAAATTATTTATCTGGCTCTGTGAATGCAGTGCAGAGATTCTATCATTGCATAGTCGTCACCACTCTGCATAGGTTGGCAAACTCATGAGTCAACTCATCGGGTAGCGAGTCCGAGTCCGAGTGAGCCTGCTTAAGGTAAATATCCGCGAGTGCGAGTCCAAGCGAGTTCTAAGCACACGGCATGTACTGTGAGCGAGTCTCAGTGAGCTCCCCCACTTATTGCCGACCTAGGCTTTATAGTGCAGATTAGAATCTAATGTATGCTTGCTGTAGCATTATACTTGACTGGAAGCAGGCAAGGCCAGACTAAAATCACTGCATTAGTTCTTGCAGCAGCCACCAGGACACAACCTTGTACGCATTCCTAATAGAACATTTGTCACTTACCATACACGATCGGCCGAAGTGTATGAACCGAGCACATGCACTGGAGCTTTGACCAATCACATACAATGGGGATGAACATTCTAGTATTATAGAATGTGCACAAGATTGCACCTAACTCTGAACTATCCTTGACAAGTGCATCAACTATGGTTTACAATGCACACCTGAAAACAGAATTTCTAGCAGCTGTGTGTAAATTCATAAAATCTCAGTCTGAAAAATAGTGCAGTAAGTGTCCTGTTCTCTGTGCTTTGGCATTTTCAAACTTCAGCATTGAAGTGCATATTGCTTTCTGCTGTTGCAGGAATGTACTGTTTCGTTTTGATGGCCTATTTAAACGACACTTACAATAAAGCAGCTGGTAGTTAGCCCTCAACTTTTTCATGTGGCTTCTGTGATGTCTGTTTAAAGTTTTTGCACATTTAAATTTCTTTGTGCTAAGAACGAACTAGCTAGCCCCTTGAGACATCCTGATTATTGCAACAGTAATTATTCCTCAATATAACAAATCCAGATATAACAAAATATCAGTTATAACAAAATAAATGAATAGTCTTAAAATAGACAGTGTTAGAAATATACCACTATGACGAATTTTTGGATATAACAAACCTATTTTCGTGTAAGACGCAACTTCGTTAGAATGAGGTTTGAGTGTACCGTCTTTTCTTTCATCCAGATTGCTGCACTGTCATTCAAGCTAGATGATGAAGAGGAAGAAGAGGAGGACTCAGAAGAAAACAACAACAACTGTGAAGAGAAGGAGGATTTGCCAGAAACAAAGAAGCAGGGTGAAGATGACAAAGACAGAGATGGTGCCGACTATGAACCACCGTCAAAACGAAAGTTGGGCAAGAACCCCGATGTGGACACCAGCTTCCTTCCAGACAGAGAACGAGAGGAAGATGAGAAGCGTATCAGAGAAGAGCTTCGCATGGTATGCAGTGCTATGTGCTTGTTGTTTGCAGGGTAGGGTGAATTGGCGATCATTTGAGGAGGCCTCTGTTCTGCGGGCTGGTAGTGATGATGATGTCGACTGAGGTGAAGTAACTATGTCCATATATAGATATACTAATGCAGGCAGTGATAGAGAAACGGCAGATGATGTAGGCACCAGGTTCCAACTGTGGATTTACAGTATTTACATGAACACAATAAGAGGTCACAATTGTAACGTAGCATACTAGGCCTAAAAGCTTAGAAAAATGCATTATAAACAATTCTGCTGGGTAGAAACTCTTGCAAAATATATGCCTCTAATGTGTGCAATCTACAAACCTTTGCCACACTGTTGCAAAGTTAAGTAGTGCTCGTACAAAGTCTGTCTTCCTACTGAAGTGTTTTCCTAAGCACGCAACTTGGTAATCCATTGAAAATGTTGCCAAATGTTTTTGCTGGCCTTCCTCTCTTGCTATATTGCATAGGATAAAAAAAATACTGTCTAAGTGTTGAATTAATGGGAAATGGGCATGGTTTAGTAGGGTAGGGGCGTTACTTGGTCATGTTAAACTTCCCAAACGATATAATTTCATGCCATTGCAGGAGTGGGTACAGAAACAACAGCAACTGAAAAACGAAGACATTGAGATCACCTTCAGCTACTGGGATGGCTCGGGTCATCGAAAAGTAGTACGCATGAAGAAAGGGAACAGCATCTACCAGTTCTTGCAGGTGAAGTTGCACCGCCAACTTTTTTCAATTGACATTTCAGTGCATCTGATTGCATCCACTTGACCAGTGTACATACAATGTATGAGAAGCTTTTTTTTTTTTTTTGAAATGGGCCAGAATTTACACTAGCTCAAATTGGCACATACATACTCTCGACTTTCCTCTACAGCAGTAATAATAAATTAGTAATAATTTATTATTACTGTTTTAGAAGAAAGTTGATACACTCAAACCTCATTAAAACAAAGTTTCATCTTACATCAAAGTAAGTTCACTGTATTAAAAATTCTGTATAAAGAATATTCCTAACACTATATTTATTGCTAGACTTTTATTAACGAACTTTGTTATATCTGGTTTGTTTTATCAAAGTTTGAGTGTAGTATGCATGTGCCAATACAGCTTTATTTGAGCTAGTTTCGGTTCTGGAATTTGGCAAATTTCAAGAAAAAGCTCCTCATATATGAACACAATTTGAGAAACAGTCAGCTTGAATCTTGCCAAGTTCGTTTCATAATGGTTGCCTAAAATTAGTTTATTTCTAGCAGCCACATGAGTGTGCAATGTTTATTCCAATAAGAATAATGGCTTGGATTTTGCATTTTAAAACCAAGGTTTGGTACAAACACGCAGTAGCAGGATGTTTCAGATTAATTTCGACAGCCTCGGGTTCTTTTTTGTGCACCTAATCTAAGCACACAGGTGTTCTTTGCCCTTTCATACCCTCAAGCTTAGCAATGCCACGCATCCTGTGTTCATCTACGCAGCAGTTTACGTGCAAGAGTTGGACGAGTGATAGAGCAGTGCCCCATAATTTCCTGAGAAGTATTCCTTGTTCAAGAACTTCATAGTCTACGCATATTGAAGATTGCCTGGAGTTAAATGCTTCTTGACCAGATCCTTATGTTGAGTGGCCGCTGATGTGCAGTGCACCAATTAAAATGCGACAATTTATGGCTAAGCAGTGCACATATCTGTTTCCTCTATCTTCAGTTCATGTGATATTGGTATAATTTGGACTCATACACTTGAGCCGACATCAACTTTAGCATCATGATGTGGCTTTCTCAAGCAGTTGCACTTTAATAAGGGTGTGGTAGGTTACTGAAATTATTTAAGTTGCATTTTAATCCGCCAGTACTGTACATAGCGTAAATGGCCAAGCAACTTTAGTTGTGTACTAATGCTCATAGTTGGGCATTCTGTGCTGTGCATCAACAAAGCAGTAAACAGAACCAGAAGGGCGCCTTCTTTGCAAGGTCATTTGAAGAAAGCTTGAAATGGGGATCACGAACGTCTAAAGGATGCACCAAGGTCCTGTTACTGAGTGTATGACGAAAGCTGTAGCTTTGGAAGTGTTTGGTTGGTCTGACTGCATTGCTCATCACTTCACTTGCAGAAATGCCTCGAGGTTCTTCGAAAGGATTTCTATGAGTTGCGGGCAGTTACGGCGGACCAATTGATGTACGTCAAGGAGGACTTAATCATCCCACACCACTACACATTTTATGACTTCATTGTCACGAAGGTAGGGTTGTGTGCTTGTGCGTTAGCCACCTGATCGTGCTTGCTGTGGTGAATGTTGCTTGCACTTAAAAAGGCAATACTTTTCATTGTAAAAAAAAAAACAAAAAAACTCATCTCGGCATGGTTGTGGCAAGCATTTCAACTGGATGATTGATAACCTAAGTGCTTACAACAGGAAGCGAAGTTCACAGGATAAAGGCACACTTGAGTAATTATCTGCTTTGCAAGTATTGCATGTGCTCGCTATAGCTAAAATAGCTTCCTGTAGCGCTGTATGTTCGATGCAACTTGTGCTCAAGCAACCCTGAAAGTAACAAGGTATTTAGATCATTGCATTGATACAAACAAAATATTTTTACTTGACTAGATAGTTCTCACTCAAAAGCAAAAAAACAAGGCAGAAAGTTATCAATGAATCACGAATGCACAGCATGACTGGGCATGTTGCTTTAATAAAATCTATAAACTACACTTACAATAGGTCGTAGGAGACTTATAAACTGAAGCAAATGAAATAAGAAACATGTTTCTCACCAGCCTTATGTCCTGCTACAAGCATTGTTTCTGCGGCGAGAATCGGCACATTTACTTGCAATTTTACCCAGGCTTTCCTAGGAGGCAGTAGCACACAGTTGACATGGTGGCTTAGCTAGGGTATGCTTTGTTTTGCACAGGCTCGTGGCAAGAGTGGCCCGCTGTTTGCCTATGATGCGAGGGAGGACGTGCGGTTGACCAACGACGCGTCGATTGAGAAGGAAGAGTCGCACGCCGGCAAAGTTCTGCTGCGATCATGGTACGAGAGGAACAAGCACATCTTCCCGGCGTCCCGATGGGAACCTTACGACCCTGCCCGCTCGTACGAGCGCTACACAGTGTCTGACAAGAAAAAGTAGTCCAGTGCCACCAACCAGCTGGGAAAAAAAAATCCAGTCATGCTTCACTGAACTGAACTATTGATGGATGGCAGTGCAAAGTGGGGACTCGTATGCATGCTGGGCTGTACGCATGTGCTATTCAAATGTGCTGGCAAGTTTGTGCGAATAATCAGAATCTTCCGTTTTCTCATGTAGAAATAACTCGTATTGTCCATGTTGGACATGTGGAAATGTGGACTGTTGCAACACTATACCGGGCACTCTACACCCTGCACCAAAAAGGAGCTTGGCTTTTCCTCAGACACGTTTGCCACTCCAAGAAGTTTGGATAGAAAGGCAGGCAAATTATGACAAAATGCTGTTAATAAAATGCTCTTGAGAGCTTGATTTTGTTACAAAGTGCACATGTAAACTGAATTACTGAGCATGGTATTGCAAGTGGCAAGTAAATACCAGAAATTGTCTGCGTATAAGCATATGTTGAATTTCTTGTAGTTGTAATAACAAAATTAACGCTGTCAGGAAAAATGGATTGCACTGAATATCGCTTGTGCCCGTGTTGGGACACTGTTTGTGTGGAAAGGTATACTTAGAGCTGTCATCGCTTTGACGATATTGTAAAGTTGCTATTGTAAATAAACATAGTCATTTTCCTTGTTTGTTTTGTCATGAATTCATTTTTGCTGTGCACATTAAAAGTGAATTTCGCTGGCAAAGCGAATAGGCACCAAGTCGAACTGCAAAGAATGCCAACCACCATATGGCAGCTCATCATTGGCTCCGAAAACTTTGGTGCCAGGTGTCAACAGAACATACCAGAGCAATCCAATTTATAAAGAATCATAGCATCTTAATGCTTTTAAATTTATTATTATGTATGTGACTTCAGACTTGAATGAGCCAAAAGGCCTTGATACACTGCTCACATCTTGCTTTAGATATCCTTCCAGCAATGGTCAAAAGGGCAAACTAGAAGCAAGCTATCGTACATGGCAGATTAACACTAGCATAACGCGCTCTTCTGCAATTTTTTTCCCCCTAAAATCCCTGGTATTGTGCGATTCTGTACTGTCCCTGCTAGTAGGGTTCATCATGTTGTAATGGCAAAAGGGAAAAAATGCGAGTGAGAACCGTGTTCTCGAGTTCAAGATGAAAATGTTCTCCATTTGCTGGGAGGCATTTTGGTGCAAAAAACTGCAGCAGGGGCAGCTTCTAAACTAACCACTTTCGATAAACACCAATTGGCTATGGCGAGTAGGATCACTATTTTTTTAGTGTAGCCTATGGTCATTAAAGAACATCAAAGTAAATATTTTATGACAATGATGCAGTGAACTATGAAAAGAGAATGCAGAAACACTGCTGGCAGGTTTTGCAGCAGTTCCAGAGAGCATAGAACACATTCTTCGAAAGTGCTGCTTAATGTGGCTTCATTTTGCATAATGACAGAAGTTTACATACAGACTTTTACAAAACCTTCAATTTCTGTCAGCTCACACTGACAGATTTAGTATATTCTAATATATCAAGATGTAATACTTTTAATGACCGCTATGCTGTTTGTAGTGCAACTCTAGATTACTGTGGCAGAAAAGCTAGAGAAGACCTACCTCAAACCCCCAATGCGGTTCAACAACTACTACAGCTTATGGGAGGAACAGTTGGTTGGGAGTTTGTTTCCCTGCCACACACATGAAAGCAGCATGCACAAAAACTTACATTCATTTAGATCCAGGTCTATTTACACACACCTGGATACCAAGGTTGGTCGATGTTAACAATGTTGAGTCTCATTACAGCAACACTTGGAGCCGGTGATCTCCTTGGCTTTTAAAACACATAATATGAACTAATTTTTGCCAAAACACAAAAGTTATTCAAACATTCAACCCAGCCTGACGTTGAAAATTAGTCTGCTTAGCAAACACCACTAAAGCAAACAAGGCTATACTCAGTTACTGGCTGTAAAAAGTAATTGATTTGATTGATATGTGGGGTTTAACATCCCAAAACCAGGCTATAAAATGTACAGCTTTAACTGCAAAGTGTAATCATCCTCATTATTTATGTACACATGGATCAGAAAAAAAGCTTAACACTTAAACAAATCACGGTATGGTTGGTGAAACAAAATGATTTATTTAAACAACTTCATGGATTCTGCATCAAGTGACACAGCTGCCACAACCTACTGTTGGCCTAGCAAAATGTAATTTCACAAGTCAATACTGGCATTTCTTTCTAGCTTTGAAATTACCTTAAGTGCTCAGTCTGGGGTAATATATAAAGAAATGATAAAGTTTCTAACTTGTTCTAAATCTGGGCACCCCAGCTAAACTTTGCTTGAAAGATGGAACATTTCTTACACTTGGTGAATGCTCAGGCCTCTGGGTCAATAGTCTAGAAATGCATAATCTGGCATATTTATGCACCAGAAGCTCAGTACGTGGGGAATTCTGGATCCACGGTTCTGGCCCAGGACTCAAGGCCTCCTCTAACGTCACACACCTTGATCTTTTTGCTCCACGCTTGTCTCAACTTTTCCACTGCCAGCTGAGAGTTGTTGCCACGCCGACAGATCACAACCACTGCAAAAACAGAGCGTTCCACACCTCCACGCACGCATGCATTTATACGTACCCTGACAGCAAGATGACACAGGCAACACAAATGTGCCTTGACCATGTTTGATAGTAGGCTCGTGCGAGTATTAAATTTTTGTTTCGAAGTGAATAGTAATTTGGCCGAATAATTTTGAATCAAATTCGAACAGTATATATCACATATGAAGAAAATTTAGCATATTTATCATGACCCAACAGATCTGAACAATATTTTTTTAATTAAAAAAGGCATGTGCAAATGTATATTTTTTTTGTTCAAAGGACGTGGAAGCAACTTTGAATAGTAGCAGCATTTGAGTTTTGGTATAATACAAGAAATGCAAGTGGCAGCCTGTGAAATATTTTAAGTTTTAAAATTTACTATGCTTAGAGCATACAAGCTTGTATAACAAGCTCTAAACTTGGAAAATTATGCATCAATGCGAGTGTGTATGCTCGTCGACCTTGAAGTGGAGCTTCATAGCTGTGCGTATTTCCCTGGATAGGTGTATTCATGGCACTGCAACCCTCCACATTTACAGTAGAATACTTGAGAACTAATGTACATGTACTGTTCATGTTGAATTTATATTCGAGTCGAAGCTACTCTAAATACTGTTATATCCATTTGAATACATTAGGTGCTCAAATATTTGCACAAGCCTATTTGATAGTTATTCCAATAAAGGTGCTCAAAACACAGTATAAACAATACAGTGGCAATCAAACATGACTTCATTTTTTTATCATGGTAGCCACCATAAAGGCTTGATTCAGTGAAAACATACTTCAATTAAGAACTTCAACTCCCAAACACAATTATGTGAAGGTATCAATTTTTACATTTCCCAAGAATTTTTCACAGCCACGAGAAAACAGACTGCACAACTTGCTATAAACTACATCAGCTTTCACTACTAAGCGCATTGCACAAGGCATAAGATTTCAATAGCATTTATGTATTGGAATGAAAATTATAGCTTTAGAAGTTTGGACAGTTAGTCCAAAATGATTAGACGATAGTGCGACTTGCTCTAGAACGCTGCATACAGCGCAATATACAGCAACATTGCTACCATCATTTCCATCATGCCCACCATTGTAATGTGCAGTTCAAGATACCAGAAACGCATAACATGCAAAATAAAAACCACAGCGACCCTTACCTTCTGTTTTTTTGGCCAGTTTTTCATTTAATGAGTCGAGCTCATTATCCAGCTGCTCAAGAGGAATGTCTGAGCATTACCAGAGTAAAGGAAAAATCGCATATTGGCACCATAACAGATGGAGTGTGAGTTAACCACAGTTACCATGACACAATGCATACCATGGTACTTGGGTGCACAATAATTGTGAAGTATAACTATTCAATGAAGCTAATTATTTACTCTTAAACTACTGTACCATTATAATACAGCAATAAACTTCTCCCTCTTTTAGCATGAAGTTTAAATGACCAGTAACTATACTGTTCATGTAAATGTTTATTATCAACAAATGAAGAAACTGCAACCAGGGCAAACTATTACATGTGTAACTAGCCAACTAGGGCACTCCTTCAACAGAACATAACAAACTATTTAGAGCTCTGAAAGTTGTTCCGTTTGATGCCAGTACTTCTCCCCAGTTGTAAAGTACTCGAGAATAAAAGAACATCGGTAAACAGCTCAGTAGTCGCTTGCATCATACACTACAGGTGCCTCTCGTTTGCTACAGCAAAATCTCAACACTAAGTAAAAACACTGCATAATTGTTGCTGCTACAACTTTCTGAGAATTACTTTGACACCTACTATCTGTTTGAAGGTTAATCTTAACTTAATTATTGCTGATTATAATTAATCTAATTAATCTTCAGATGCGGCCCATGAACTGTCTGTGAATGTGTCAAATCACTACAACATTACTTCAAGGCACACAATGTTCAATTGAAAAAAGAAATGAGATAATTGTTGAATCGAAGTGTGCTATAATACTGCATCCTAATTAGGTTGTAATTGAATATTTCTTTACTTTGAAGTCATTGATGCTTACTTTTGACATCAACAAAAGTAGATTCTCAGGCTAGGAATATCGTACAAATTCATTTTTAGTTAGATTGTGGGGACGCTGACACCCCCTGTAAAACTATTTGCACCGCATGGCGCAGTATGTCTCGCACACAAGCCGTATTTCGGAGGTGACAACTATTGAGCGATAGGTGGCGTGTTCACCGAGCTGTGATCACCACTATCATCATCATGGTTGGTAGAGCGCTAGTGCCGGCGGTGACCCCTGGCGGAACGCAAGCCTTGGTGGCGGGCGAGAGAGTTGAGAGAGTCTGTTGTGGCATGGGGCAGTAGCACGGACTGTTGCCTCCAGCGGTGGGTCTGCCGTGGACGGCACCGCGGGCCGCCTGCGGTGGGCCCTGTGGCGAGTCAGGTGTTAGCGACACCACCTTGTTGTCATGTTGTTGAGCGTTGTTTACTATTGTGCGAGGATGTACTAGTGTGTTCATCACGATTGATGTTAAAATAAGATGGCTGATGATATCGTCAGCCAAAAGTAGTTCATTAAATGTGTATTGTTTGGTTTGTACCGACCGCGTCTGCTGTGTCCGTTCAATCCAAGAGCGTGGTGGTGTCGCTCGCCAATTCGAGACCCTACACTGGCGCCAAACGTGGGGCTCTTGGAGCATCGGACAACAGTTTTCGCGGTTCGGTGCAAGCTGTGGTTTGAGCCGGGGTAGTGTAGGCGTAGGGAGACTTTTTTGCTAGCGTCGGCAATGTGTTTTGTTGAGAGCGTGGAGATCGGTATTTGTGACATGTTTGAACTTGTCGGCACGTTGAGTTTTTACTTTATTCTGCTCGCAAGTGCTTTTGTTGTTGCTGTGGTTGGTTTTTCAGAACGTTGTTCAGTTGGAACGAGAGCCATGTGGTCTGCATCCTGGGGTGAGCAAGGCTTAGAGCACGTGGTTTGTAGGCCAGGCCCGAAGCGAGAGAGTACGGAAGCCTCATGGGTAGTCCGATTTTCTGTAAATAGCTTCTTCTATCTCTTTTGGGCTCAGGGAGCCGGGCGTCGTTGCTGTCTGGTAATGCGGCTCGACGCCAAGGCATAGTGACACCGTCCGGGACAGTGGACGCCGATTGCTCGGTAAGCTGCTGTGTGTGGCGAGTGATAGGGCCACCTTACAGAGTGGATGTCTCCTCGCAGCTGCCTCTTCTGCGTCTAGGCTGGGTCGATGCCGGTTGTTCCCAAGTGACTCATTAGGCCTAAGGCTCCGCGCAGCCACCTGTCGCACGTGGCACTACTAGGTGGATCAAGGCGTTGAGGTGTTGTCCTCTGCTTCTCTCACTTTTTTTTATCTTGCGATGCACGAGTTATGAAAAGTGATTTTAGTTTTATTTTGATGGGCGTCTCGGCCGCCGCCGATTTATTAGCTAGCAGTACTGACCATCGTACCACGTGGGCGAAAAAGCCTGAAGCTCCCTTCCCTAGGCCCTGCTGCATTCTGTCGAGTGTTTTGGAATGTACGCAGCAAGACCGATGTAATTTGCGGCTGGCTGTCTTCTGCACATCGTCAGCGCCGCTGGCCAGGAATGCGGTCGTAAGGTCGGGCGATGGTCATGCCTGGGACCTGCGCAACTTCCTGCAGTCCGGCGCCCTGATGAGTGCTGGTCGCAACCAAACGACGTGTCGGCGCGAGTGACGGATCATCGCGCCGACGGCAACGTTGCTGTTGCGGGACCAGTACTGAGGTGAAGTCGTCGAGCCGGATACTGCAGCAGTGTCGACCGGCTGCGGTGTCGTGGTGCACGGACATTATGAAGGGACATGTGTTGTCATTTTTTTGTTAGAGCTTGTGTAGCTTATTTCTTTGTTTTTCGAAATATGGTTTGAATTAAGGTTGACGGAATGTGGGAGTGCTGACACCTCCTGTAAAACTGTTTGCACCGCGTGGAGCACGTGTCTTGCACAGAAGCCATGCTTCCGGGTCACGGCTATTGAGCGATAGGTGGCGTTCTGTACGCGAGTGGTGATCACCACTATCATCATCATCATCATCATGGTATTGCACCGGCGACAAGAAGCCTTGGTAGCGGCGAGCGATAAATAAGCTGTTCTCTTCTGCGCGTGGCGGTTGCCGCAAACGGTTGTCTCTAGCGTGGGTCCCCGGTGCGTGGCAATGCTGGCTGTGCGTCGGCGGCCTTCGTGGTAAATGAAGCGTTGGGGACTCCGCCTAGGGTGTGTAATTGTGTTTGTCATGTTTTGGAGTGTATGTTTACTATTGTGTAAGGATGTCCTAGCCTGTTGATCACGATTTTTGTTATAATAATTCGGCAGACGACATCGTCGTTATAAATTAGTTAAATAAATGTATGTTGTTGTTTGGTTTGTAGCGACCGCGTCTGCTGTGTCCTTTCACTCAAAAGCATGGCGTGGCGCTCGCCAATTCGATACTCCACAAGATCTATTTTGAGCAAAAAAAATTCTGCTTTTCACATTGCTTGCTGGAAACGGCATGTCGCACGACTCGCCGAACGTGGTAGTGCCTTTATAGAAGCGATCACATGTATTAGTACAAAGTCAAATTAAGAATAATTTATTATGCCGGAGGTTCAATTCACTCACAGTATTGTATATTGTGCTCTTTCTTAGCCTCTACATGATGCAAATAGCAGTAACGAGTGGTGTAAACAATGGTGTCTCAAAGGGTTAATTGAGATTATGCAGCAACTGGCACACTTGGCACAGAAACCCAGAAAGTTCACACAAAAGGGATACTGAGGCTGCCAGGAAGGTGGCACATCTCAAACTCGTACTTAGGCCTAACATCGAGCAGGAGACTGCCAGGCTCCTTGCGCAAAAGTCGCTCCCTCAGATCCTGAAATAGCCGTATGAAAAAAAAAAAATTCATGCCAAACCAACCTGGGTTGTTGTTAGTGTGCGTGTGAGATGCGTACTTTGACATGTATTAATACAGCAAATAAAATTACTGGTCTTGATGCTTTTATTCAGCATGCCTCTCATATCCCATGCTCATTACAGCAAGAAAAATGTAATGAAAAATGTGAGAGCCTGCAACAGTGTCTGAAATGACCCCTAACACATTTGCTGCTAGAAACACACATATTGAACTCACTACCATAGTTTGCATGTCACTACATTCGTGTGCAAGCTCTCATATATTTTTTTCTTTTTGTCCTTATGTGTTAGTTGCCCTTATGTGTTGTTGTTATGCGTTAGTTGTTGTTACACAATAAGTCATAATTAGCTTTCAAAGGGTTGTACACTCAAACCTCATTGTACGCTCACACCTCACCATAACAAACTCACAACTGCCACAAAAATACTTTCTTGTATCCGAAAATTCGTTACAAACGATTGTTTGTAACAATATTTATGGCAAAGCTACTGGTCACTTCGTTATAAGGTAATTAGTTATATCGAAATATGTTATATCAAGGTTTGAATGTACACTTATTGCTTTGCTATTTGACATGCTTTACTGTGCTTTTTTTCATACACTGTCACACTATTCTTTAGTCGCAACGTATTATCAACTGCTACACTATGTACAAACATAATGTTATAATTAGTTATTAAAGTGTTATAATGTTAGCAAAACATTATTGTTTGTATTCTCACATTTTTGCAATGTGACATGCTTTTCTTTTCATAATTATTTTTCAATGAATTCCAGCCAGTTTTAGGCTAAGAAACCAGATTCCTTTTTCTAACGAATCTTACATTTTTGTCATTCCTTTTATGCCAATAAAGTGAAATCAACTATTGGAATAAGTGGTATGGCTGAATGCTAAGATACGTTTTTACCCCTTTTAAACAAAAATTATAATCACGGTTACAAATGTGTCCAGTTCACATAACACAATTCCAAAAGATTCAATATTACATTCCAAAAAAAAAATGAAGTAATGCATTGTTTTGTGTGAGTTGCAGCAATTAATTGTAAATAACATGTATCTAAATCATTATTTGGCAGTCAGTCATGTTCAATTTTGGTATAAAGAGTAATGAAATAATAGGCTCTAAATGTGTGCGCAATTAGTTTTTAGTTGCATTCGTTTCAAGAATAGTAATCCTTTTGATGTAGGTTGTAACCATAGCACGTCAAACAACCCGTCGAACATCACAGTGCCTTCTCCAAAGTGATCGTTTACAGTCCATAAGCAATACACTGATCCTAAATCAAGTCATATGGACAATGTGTAAGGCTCAATTCATCTAATGAACAATGTATCTTGTCTTTTGGCCACAAGTTGACCCTGCTAGCATAAATAAAGCTGCATACACAAATGCAGCCATTGCTGCTGAAGGAGGCTATAAACGAACAGCCACTGTGTGCATCTTGCCAGACGAGAAATGGCAAAGGCATCAGTGACACTTGGGGTCAGTTTAATCCATAAAGTTATCCGTAAGCTCTCCCACATCCATATATTACTTGTATTGGTTTACACGCTGGTGCAAGTGTTGACATTTGTAACATTTCCTACGTGAATGCCATAAATTTGAGATGCTGCAATAAAGAATGTGTAGCTGCAAGCTGAAATCTCTATGATGAGCTACCTAGCAGTTTCCAAAGCAGCCTAGCGAAATGCTTTACACACACAACATACAACATATGGCCCAGTTTGCACTGTCAAATGTAGTAGCTGAGTGCCTTGGTTTATATTGAAATCAAGTGCTGTTCTTGTAAACCAATTGTGAACAAAAATTCACCTGGCATGAGATCCGTAGCTCCTTGGGTAGCACATTGAGTCCACTACACTAAAAAAAAAGTAGCCAAAATACATTTTCAAATTTGGCATTAGGCTCAGCACAACATTTGGAATACAATAAAAACTTTTTCTCCACATTTTTTAAAGATATCTTTGAAAACAGCAACAGTTTCGTTGGAAATGTATGGTGCCAAGATCTGTTATAGCAGCTTGAATGAACATATATCATTTTAAATTCACACCATTTATTATTCATTCACACTTATTGCTTCTTGGTTACAGGGTTTGAGTCTTGTTGTCTCACTTGTACACAAACCTTTTTAAAGACGATAGTCTTTATAGGGGTACTTCAACGCAAAAATTTTGGTCAGTCTGTCTGTCTGTTTGTCTGCAGAAATTATATCCGAAACGGCCCTAAAATCTAACCCCATCCGTAGCACCCACCAATATTGCTCAAGTTTCAACGTGCATACTCGTGCAATTGTCAATTAAAAAGCAATTATTGGGATATCTGAGGCACAATAATGACACATCAATATTTTGTGCTGTGTCTACTTGTTCGAGAGAAGGCATACATAAGTAATTCTAAGGACCGTAGCGTTTATCACGCTGCAATGACAATTCAATGCAATGTACAAAAAGGGCAAGTGTTTTCAACGCTTTGCTAAGACAACACGGTTGTGGCACCTACCCGTAACTTTGCGTTCTACACCTTATTGCCTGCAAGACAAGCGCACATGCCATCCTTCGTTTTCAAATATAACTAACTAGATAGCGCTCGTATCTCACATGCCTCGATGTGCTCATTCGCCTCCACTGCATGGATCGAGGCACTCTAACGCAGCATTCCAGAATACAACTCACCGATTTTCTCGCACAGAAAATCAAACAAAAGTTTTGGTCACTCTCTCCAAATGCAAGACTATTGTCTTTCGATGAACATTTGCAGTAAAACATGCTGATATGGGGCCAATTTTTTCATTAGAGTTCCATTCTTGGTTTTTGTTGATTTCTGAATGTCCAGTTTCAACTGTTTTACAGTAGACAAAATGGAACCTGAAGGGAAGCAGGAAGATATGTTGTATATAACAGGAGTTCCATTTACTGAGAGAGGAACAGGTGCAGGGAATACAAGTATGAAATCGATCACATCAGGGTCGGATGTTATCATTAAAAAACAGTTCTGTTTAAATATTTTTGTTCACTCAGTCTTGGGTGCGTTATTGTGTTTGGGTGCGTTATTGTGTTTGTCATGTTTCGGAGTGCATGGTAATATTGTGTAAGGATGTCCTCGCGTGTTGATCACGATTGATGTTATAATAATTTGGCGGATGATATCGTCGTTCTAAAATTAGTTAAATAAATGTATGTTGTTTGGTTTGTACCGACCGTGTATGTTGTGTCTGTTCACTCCAAGAGCATGGTGGTGGCGCTCGCCATTTCGAGACCTCACACTGGCTGCCCAACGTGGAGCTCTTGGAGCATTGAAGGACAGTTTGTGTAGCTCGGTACGATCTTTTGTTAGAGTCAGTGAAGAGTAGGCCTAGGGGGGACTTCTCAGTGCTAGCATCGGCGGTGTGCTTTGTTGAGAGCGAAGAGATCGGTTGTTCTGGCTTGTTCGAACTTGTTGGCACGTTGAGTTGTTTTTTTCTTTCTGCTCACAAGTGAGTTTTTTTCCATTGTTGGTGTTGGTTTAAGAACGTTGTTCAGTTGGGACGAGAGCCATGCCGTCTGCATCCTGGGATGAGCAAGACTCACCGAAGCGAGCGAGTACAGAAGCCTCGTGGGTGGTTCGATTTTCTGTAAATAGCTTATATCTCTTTTGGGCTCAGGGAGCTGGGCGTCGTTGCTGTCTGGTATTGCGGCATGACGCCATGGCGTAGCGACAGCATCTGGGACAATGGACGCCGATCGCTCGGTAAGCTGCTGTGTGCGGCGAGCGATAGGGCCACCTTGCAGAGTAAATGTCTCCTTGTGGCTGCCTCTTCTACACCTAGGCTGTGTGCTGGGTGATGCCGGTTCTTGTCGAGCAACTCATTAGGCCTAAGGACCGCCTGTCGCACGTGGCACAACAAGGTAGATCGCGGCATTGAGGTGTTGCATTATGCTTCCCTCACTTTTTTGTTATCTTGCGATGCACGAAAAGGTGATTTTTGTTTTATTTAGATGGGCGTCTCGGCCGCCGCCGATGTATTAGCTAGCAGTACTGACCTTCGTACCATGTGGGCGAAAAGCCCGAAGCTCCCTTCCCCAGGCTTTGCTCCATTCTTTCTGTCGAGTGTTTCGGAATGTACACAGTGGGAGTGATATAATCCATGGCTGGCCGTCTACTGCACATCGACAGCGCCGCTGGCCAGGAATGCAGTTGTAAGGTCGGGCGATGGTCATGCCTGGGACCTGCGCAACTGCCTACGGTCGGGCGCTGGTCGTGAGTGCTGGTAGCAAAAGGAAGACGTGTCGGCGCAAGTGGTGGATCATCGCGCGGACGGCAACATTGCTGTTGCGGGACCGGTACTGAGGTGGAGCCGTCGAGCCGGACAGTGCAGCAGTGCCGACCGGCGGCGATGTTGTGGTGAACAGACATTATGAAGGGACATGTGTTACCTTTTTTTTTTTGGAGCTTGTGTAGCTGATTTCTTTGTTTTTCGAGATATGGTTTGAATTAGATTGAAAAAATAAGGAGGTGCTGACACCCCCTGTAATGTTTTTTGCGCTGCTTGGAGCATGTGTCTCGCCCAAAGGTCGCATTGTGGGTTACAACTACCGAGCAGTAGGTGGTGTTGTGTCTGCGAGCGTTGATCCCCACTATCATCATCATCATGGTATAGAGCCAGCGGCGACAGGCCTTGGTAGCGGCGAGCAAGAAAAAAGCTGGTCTCTTCAGCGCGTGGTGGTTCCCGCGATTGGTTGTCTCTAGCGTGGGTCCCCGGTGCGTGGCACCGCGGGTTGCGCGTCGGGGTCCCTAGTGGTAAATCAAGCGTTGGGGACGCCGCCTTGGGTGTGTTATTGTGTTTGTCATGTTTTAAGGTGTATGGTAATATTGTGTAAGGATATCCTAGCGGGTTGATCACGATTGATATTATAATATTTCGGCAGACGATATTGTCACGACACAGACACAGCAGAAGTCCGATACAGAAGAGCTCACTTTAATTAAATGAAAGGCGCTCAAAAAGAGGACCAGGCAAGAACTTCGTCTTTTTTTCTGCGTGAGCTCTTCTCTGCAGGTTGAATGCGACATTTGCCTCCCTCCAGGCAGAGCATCATCCCGATGCTCTGCTACAAAATACGCGGTGTATGTAGTTGACATATTATGCGACTGGCTCACTGCAATGTGGCTCCATCCGCACAATGTGTACGATTTCTGATTTTTGCTGGTGAATTAATGAGAAACTGTCAGCGATGACCTCATAATTCACGTCACTTAGGCACCGTACAACATTGTAGGGATCAAAGTACTTCTTAAGTAACATTTCAGAAAGGCCCCGTCAGCCAATAGGGCTCCAGACCCACACTTTCTCGCCTGGTTGATAAGTGGCGTATCGGTGTCGCAGGTTATAACGTTGTGCGTCATAACTCTGCTGCCGGGCGATTTGCATGCGTGCTAGCTGCCGCGCCTTTTCAACTCGTTGGGTAAAGGCTTGAACATCCGTGTCTGTATCGTTGCAGTCGTGCAGCAACATGGCATCAAGCATTGTCGTCACTTCACGGCCATAAAGAAGACTAAATGGCTTTCGGGTAGTTTCCGGCTGCGCCGTATTATAGGCAAACGTCACATGGTAGAATGTCGTCCCAATTTTTACGATTGTGGGAATTGAGGCTAGCCCGCCGCCTATGCGCGGGCTTTGCCGCCTTTTCTGCCGTTCTCATGTCTCGACATGACTCCCCTCCTCCGCTGTCTGCCACGCTGGGAGAGCAAGAAGTGACGTTTAACCCCTCTAGCCCGGTAGCGGATGTCGACTGTGGCGCCGCGCGCAAAGTCTCCTGAGAGGTATCGCGTGCGTGCGTTGGGAGCGTGTCAGAGATTCTCCGGGACAGCTTACGATGAGCCACGCACTCCCTTTTTAATCCGTCGACTCCCATTATTTGGGGCTCGTCGGACTTTGCTGACGGCGCTTCACGCCCGAGGCGAACGCTCACCTTTTTTTGCCTCTTTGCGTATGCTTGGCTGAAGGGTGGTACGGTGTCCTAGTGCAAAACCAAGCTACGCCGACCCGTCTCCCTCCGAAGCCAACGCGAGCGCCTTTGCACTCGCTCAGGCAACCAGGCCTTGATCCCGGTGTCTCCGTGAATCACCTTTACCACGGAGACGTGCTCGTGGCACCCTGTGTAGTACTTTGCGCTTGTGGCGTGGATATGCCCATTTGCTTTCCTGCCACGCCTTTGCAACGGGCTGTACTGCGTTTTGATGTTGCCACAGACAATAAAGTGTTGCGACCTTGAGCAGCATCATGTTCTCGCCACGGCGACGGTCAACGCGTGCCCTGCGGCTTGCTAAGACCGGACCCACACTAGTGGTCGTACTCCTTCGGGATACGTGTCACTATATGATCCACGTCGATGTACATACTCAGCATATCGGCAATTGTCTTGTTGAGCCGTTCTGTTAAGCCGTTCTGTTAAGCCGTTGGTTTGTGGGTGGTAGGAGGTAGTTTTTCGATGCGCTGTTCCGCTCAGCTCAAGCACTGACTTAAGGAGCATGGCCGTGAAAGTGGTACCTCTGTCCGTTATAATAATTCTAAAAGCACTATGTCTCAGAATGATATTTTCAATGAAAAATCGTGCCCCTTCTACTGCGGTTCTGCTTAATAAAGCCTTTGTTTCTGCGTAGCGAGTAAGATAGTCGGTATTGACAATTACCCATTTGTTTCCAGTATGGGAAGTCGGAAATGGTCCAAAGAGGTCCATTCCGATTTGTGCAAAAGGCATGGTGGGCACTTGAACTGGTTGCAATAATCTGGCTGGTTTTAAAGGTGGAGATTTCCGCCGTTGACAATCGAGGCACGTGCGGACGTAATGCTTTACAGTGCCTGGAAGCTTCAGGCAGTA